CAACGCAAGAACCAATCTTACGTTGGTTCCTACGTCAACCTCCTAGGAACTGGAAGTAATAATAACCAGAGGTTAAAACTGTTATCAAAATTTTTTAAAAAGTTTCATTTGAACAGTTTCTATGAAACTTTTTAGAAAAAAACTGTTTTGTAATAAAGTTCTAGGTTTATGCTAAAAGTTTAATTTTTATATACTCAAGTTCTTAAAAAAAAATCTAAGGTGTGTGCTAAAAACTACACGATAGAAGTGAAAATATCAATATGGCGAGATTAATAATTTTCCATAAAACTCTTTATCATTTCATTTTCGACACTATTTTTTTCTTACCGCATCTTAATTACACTGCGCAAAGATACAATTCTGAATAACAGCTCTTTTACAAAGAGGATGAAATGATGAACATTCCCTCGCTAACAATATGCAGTTCCGATTTACATTTTTTGAGATATTTTAATCCATATGCAAAAACAATTCAATTTGTCGACTCCAGCCGACTTTACCCGAGCATTACATATCGGAGAGCTGACAATCTCATACTCCACAAAAAAACATTTAAAACGCGCTAAACAGTTTTAACTTCAAAAAGTTCCTTTAAATAAAAATAAACAGTAATGGGGCTTAGATTAGATTAAATAAGTTATTTAAAATAAAATACTTTTTTTGTATTTTATTTTAAAATACAAAAAATGTATTTATATTTTATTTTCAAGATATTAAAACACAAACAATGTACTTTAAATCTTTATATACTTTAAAATTATTATTTTTTGTTATTTGAAATACATTTTCTGAAAACAACCTAAATACTTTGTAATTAAAATAAACGGTACATTAAAAACAAAAAATATATGATACTTTAAATACTGCATTTTGAAATACATTTTGACCAGGTCTGCTTTCAATTACATGTATTAATCTAAATAGCAGTTTTAATTGGGACAATATCTGTAGCGGTTTATTGTAAAATACTGACTTATAAAGTTTAATATATATATATATATATTTTTTTTTTTGTTTAAAAGCGCCAATTTTTGTAACTAGCAGTCCTATTTTTAAGTCTTCTAATGTCAGATATCTCTAAGGAATGCTTTCGCCTTTAGAACAACGCGCTTTGGTAAGAGCCATAGAATGGAGCAGCAACTATAAAGATAAATTAATATGAAGAACTGCAGGCAATTAAGTTTGTGCAACTTTCAGTAAATATCGTTTGCATTAACTCTAAGTAAAGCACAAGAACAAAGTTAGTAATACTACAAATAATTTTTATAATTATAATCCATTTCATGCTTGTATGTAAAAATTTTTAAAAATAAAACTATTTTAATTTATACCATCAGCAAAATCGGCTTTTAGCTGAGAATTTTTAAGTTAGTATACGAATTAACAAATCAATCAAAAATTAAACAGATGCAACGATTTTGTAAGTATTTACAATTTTATAGTAATAATAATTTTTTGGAGAGTAATAATAATACACTTGACACTTTTTTTTCTGATCCATCGCTTCTCTCTGACCTCCATCAAAATGGAAGGTGTGCGCCTTTGTAACCCTTCCCAGAGCTCAGCCATTTTTTAAGTTTATATCTATTCAAATATATGTAAATTGGAAACTCGTTTATTATTAAACTAAGACCAAATATGATTGCTTCGGTAAAAGGTTTCTCAATACATATCCTAGCAATGCAGCGAACTTGACACATAATGTATGACCTACTTGTATATTTCAACCATCTAAAAACACTTTTCCTATAAATATAAATGCAATAAATCTTAAGTCTGATCATTAGGGTTTAAAAACTTATGTCTATATTAACACGAAGTTGACCTAAAAACTATGAATCCTGGGAACATAGGTACCCAGAGGTACCAACAACATTATTATTGAAACATCTTCACTGTTCCTTATTTATTTCGACATTTTGGATTACAATAATAAACGCTGCAAATTATTTCACAATGGTTTATTATTTTCAAACTATTATACATCTAAAGTAATATCTAAAAAGTAGTATATATCTAAAAATATATATGTTTAAACGTAGAAACATTAATTCCCTAATGATGCTAGTAACTACACTTAAATAACAATGTAGGTCAGAATAAAAAAGGTATTTTATCAATTCTTTGTCTCATCTCCTACTACTCCTACTGATTAACTAATCTACTATGAAACGTGTATGTATGTCGAAGAGATAAGAGATATATGAAAGACTGCAGATACTGACTATAGCTTTGTTGATATGGATAGTTTTAACAATTTATCCTTTCAATTTATTCTTTCTTTTATTTTCTACTATTTGACGATATTCTATAGGTTGTTACGTAAGTATCGTTAAAAATCATATTAAATACAAATCATGTATGCCGATCCAGGCCTTGGACAACAGGAATGGATTTGGAGCTCTTAGAGTTCGTAGAATGTTTTTTCAGGAAGTTGTGATGGAAAAGAGCCGACACTAACCGCAATGCCTATTAAATTGCATCACTCCAACTCGGATATATTTGGAAGATTTGCACAACTTTCTTAGCGGAAGAGGCTGATGATCGGTTGCCGCTGTAATCATGATACTGTGGTCAAAGAGCTAGGCTTAAATTACATGCCTCGTATAGAAATTCACTTTTTAACTAAAACAGTTTCACTGATTTTTTTTTTATCTATAGTTAGAAATAATAATTTCTTTCTATGGCTCCAGTCAGTAGGGGATTTGGGATTTCAATTTGGAGAGGGGCTTTTATTATTTTTGATAAAGATATAATTACTCTGGAAGAAAAATAAATAAACTATATAAAATGATATTTAAATGATCCTTGAAAGCTTTTTACAAAAGAAAAAACTGGAGTTTGCTTTTAAGGATATTTCTTTTTTCTTGGCACACAATTAGTGGCTGTATATGCCTTATAATTTAAAAATTGTATCAATTGTAACAGTTTAATAGTACCTTAAGTTTTTTTATCGAATCATTGCAAACCTAAAACTTTCTGAAGGGCTTGATCTTTTGGTAACCTACAACTTAGTTATTTACGAAAATTCTCGAAAATAGGACATTTTCAATCTGTAGATCTGTAAAATTTGTTTATTTAATGGGTTACTAAAATTCAAGAATACCCCTTGGCTCCATCAATTTCAGCATATATTTTAAAACTAAAAGGATCCAATAAATCTCAAACATTACACTAAAAGTTCATATCTTATAACATTGGACAACAGTCCCTTATTTAATATATTTTAATTAGATCTTAATATTTTTTTTTTTTTTTTTTTTTTTTTTTTTTTTTTTATTGAGTATTATAACAATCTGTCTGTTCGACATTGGTTATAGTGAGGTAGGATGACATTCACACCATATGTACAAAAAAATAAAATAAATAGAACAAAATAATAATCAAAAGTATATACAATAGACAATAAAATAAAATAACCTAAAAAATAAGAAAATTAAAACAAAGGAAAAAAAAAAAAATAACATGCATACCTATATACAATCAGGCGAGGGAACTCCAGGAGAACCCTGCGCTACTCTTCCAACCGCGTCACTGGTACTAAAGCCAGCGGAGATTGGTCGAGAGCACTTTAGCCACATACACACATGTCTTGAGTGAAGAATCTGGCCATTGCCAGAACTCCAATTTATATAATTTACAAAAGGTCGCGAGGCCACTGCCGTTTCAACCTTCTTGGAGGATTATAGGGATGGGAGATGCTTGATAGGGATTGTGCAAGAGGATTTGGGTGGTAAGTAAGGTTCTGGTGAAATTTGGAGAACTTTTCTGGGATAAGGTCTAGGACAAATGGGATGTTAAGGTCATGATGTAGGGTTTTGTTGGATACATAGAAAGGAGCATCGACTATTGTTCGAAGGACTTTAGACTGGAAGGATTGGATGCGCTTGATGTTAGAAAATTTTGCTGATCCCCACAGTTCTAGTCCGTAAGTCCAAATAGGTTTCAGTATTGTCTTGTAGATCAGTAGCTTGTTTTCAATGGAAAGTTTAGATTTTCTGCTTAGTAGTCGGTATAGTTGGCCGTATCGTCGGTTGAGTTCTTGTCTTTTGAGTCTAGTATGCGGGTTCCAAGTTAGTCTTCGGTCTAAATGAAAGCCAAGATACCGGACTGTGTCTGAATAAGGAAGCTGGATGGAATTAAAGAGTACTGGTGGACAGGAATTGCGTCGGAGTGTAAAAGTAATGTGTTGGCATTTAGATTCATTAACTTTAATGCGCCAGTTATTACACCAGTGCTCAATCAAGGTGAGATGACTTTGGAGATTTAAGGATGCTATTTCGGGATCAGAGTTGGATGATAAGATTGCGGTGTCGTCAGCGAATGTTGCAAGAAAAGTATCGGGATGAACAGGGATGTCAGCAGTAAAGAGGATGTAAAGCACGGGACCCAAGAGGCTGCCTTGGGGAACACCGGCTTTAACGGAGTAGATATTGGGATCTTAATATTTTAGAAGTTTCTTTTGATACCCAGCATCTTATTCATCTCTTTAAAATTCAAACATATTAAAAAATCATTTATATAACATAATTTTGCAATTGTCATGGAAACTGTACTGAATATGTAGAAATAAAAAGATTAGATCTACTATACAGTTGGATATTAGAAAAATGAAAAAATATAAGATAATTATATGAAATATATGAAGACCTGCAAGGAAGGTCGAAACGTCAGTGTAACAATTAAAAATACGATTTTTAAAAATTTATTTGATTTTAATTTAATTATTTATTTGACCGCACCTCCCGACCAACTCCTCATATATGAGATATAAATATGTTTTAACCCCAGAAGAGCTGAAAAATATTAAAAGTTATTCTAAATCAGTCAAAATGTTCAGAAAAAAAATCCACTTTGGAATACATTTTCAAATAGATCCTCTATTACCTTCTCATCATTACAGTTTAACAGAAATATAGACTATATGCATTAAATTTAAAAAAGTACTCATCATTTCTTATAATATCTATTTTTTCAAGGAATGGAATATTTGAATAAATAAATAATTTAAAAAATAATTTGATCATCATTTATTTAAATAATTCAAGAAAACAATAAAAATAATGCAACAGTAATAAAAACAGAGCAAGTAACAATCTTAACAAAAATCAATATATAAAATAATAAATGAACTATTTTACAATTAATTTTAAAATAATACATAAATAGAAGAATACTATATTTCTGAGATGATTCATCAGATTACTGTTCAATCTTCCACTATTTCAGAGTAAGGTAACTATATTAAATATTATATTTATTATATAATATAAAGATAAAAATAAAGAAACCTATTTTTCTTCTTTTCTTTTTTTTTTTTTAAATCACAACTTTTGCATTGAGTATTTCAAAACTAAACAGCCATCTGACTACATTATTAACATTTAATTAATTACAACTAAAACTATTTGCAGTCATCAAAAATAACACTAACAGAATAAAACTAAATTAATTTGAAGTTACTCCACTGACAAAAATAAAATATCCTAATATGTACTTTAATTAACATACATAGGAATATATATCAAACAACTAAAGATTAAAAGTGAAACAACTTTATAATCCCATAACTATTAAAACATATGTCACCTATATTGTATATATAGGCTATATATTCCAGTCCATATTAAAGAAGAAACTCCAAGAAAATAAAATGGATTATATATATAGTCAATTAAACAAATATTCTTAATATCAAGATTAACACCACCATAACCCGTTGGGTCAACCAACATCATGTTTTTTATCAGCACTGCAGATAACCTAGGCACTGAATTGTAGATAGGAATAAATAATATCAGTTTAAAACCTAGTATCGCTACAATTGAAATTACATTCAACAATAAAATAGAAATATCTTTTTTTTTAATTTTACCTTATTGTTGATAAGAATATAAATATATTTGAGCAGTAAACAGTCTTTTTAAGATTTCAGTATTGTAATTCATTAATTATTCTATTAATCAAATTTCTTATCAATAGGATCGTATCATAATGCCATTTCCTGGCGTGCTGATTGGAAGGAGACACCTTGCTGTTTGATAGCTGCCTGAATCAGGTCAAACACCTGCGGAGTGAACTTTTGGTCCCTAGCTGTAGTGACTAAATCAACTTCCCCAGTCAGCCGTCCCCAAGCAACGCCTGGAGGAATGCTGAGTACCACTCCTCCTACGACTCCTCCTTCCACTTCGACGCTAACTGAAAGCTGTCCGAGGTCATTGTCTAAAGTATAATGTTTGGTGGCTACAAATTTAGGAGTTTTGCCATAGCGCCATTCCCAACTGTAGAATTCAGATCTGATTTCATCCAGACCTGAAATGAAATAAAAATTAATAATTTTTACTAAAAACAGAAAAATATTAATTCATGCTAAAAAAAAAAATAATACTGGAACAAATAATTTGAAATCCTTTAGGATACCTTTTATAAATTGATAACAGTGAAATTCAATTATTTCTCTATAGCAATTGACATATTTTGAATAATAAACTAAAACCAACAGAAATTTTTTTTTCTGATAATGTAATAACTTAAGAAGATTGATTTGAAACTTTGTTAATTATTCTATTTTTCATTGTTGGCCAGATCCATAAACTGCAAAATCATCAGCAGTTAGAACAGAAAACATTTAGAAACAGGAACAATGGTGAAAAAAGGAAATATGAAATATGTAACAACATGATCTGTTTAACAAATTTAAGAAATAGAAACTGTTTACCATACAAAAAACACAATGACTGATCATATGCAAGCAAATTTGCAAAGTAGTTAATTATAACATGTTACATAATGCTAGAAAATAGGTTGTTCCATACGAGAAGAAAAATATGGCAGACATGCCTTCTTAGAAAACAACTCTACCTAAACCTCTTATTTGTATGAATTAAAATAACAAATGTAAACTGTTCAATGGCTCTTAAAAAATAATATCAAGTTCCTTGTTTTTTTAATAAGACAATATGTTTTTTTTTTGTTATACTCTTGCAAAATAATGAGATGAAAACCAACAACTAACGATTTTCTTACCAGGGAACCATTCATCTGTTGGATTTATCATTTGAAAACCTCTCTGTTTCGAAACAAGCTCCCATCCTAAATCCTTTTGGCTGATAGCTGATGTTCTCAAATACTCCCAACCGACAGCTGCCATTAGTCCATCCATGGTAATGTTTGAATTTACTTCTGTTAAATTCACGGTAGGAGAAGGGACACTCTGAGTAGCTGTTGTTTTGAACTGAAGCCCCTTTCAAATTAAAAAAAAAATAATAATAATAATTTATTAATTCATAGAACAAATAATAAAAAATTCAATATTTTGAGAAAAATCCAATTAATACTGTGGTGTTTTAGAGTTGTTTTTTTTTTTTCACAAATTGACTCATTTACACTTGTATTAACATTACATTACATTATTAACATTATATTAACTTTACATAAGTCATATTTTATTTGTTTATAAAAAACTTTACTTATAAGAAAAATGATATAAATTAATAGAACTGCGTACTTGTAATTTGAATACTGTTTCATTGGTTAATATTCTTTTCCTTAAAGATGAAGCCCATCAAGAACAAAGAAAATATGAGAAACCCATTGTAAAAAAAAAAAAAAAAATAGCTTTTGGCCCTTTACTCAAACACAGAATTGACAATGAAAAATAGAATAAATATCCATTAATAATATAATTATTATTAAATTAATACAGAATGATATCTAAAAGAATAAAAAAGAGTTTAAATTGTGCATGCAACATATGAAAATAAATGCTGCTCCTTGTCAAAACTAAACTAACATCCTCAACTGGTCTATATGCGGGTGAAGAAGTAAATTTGTGTATAGTCAAGTTAGTTTATACAACGATGCTTAATTTGTTTCTCCCATACAAAACAAAATCCTAATATCATATTAGTTAAAATATCTATGAGCAAAACATATGAATTTTAATCAGATTAGTTCAAAATGTGCACGAAATAACGTACTTATCAGCTGATTATTTCATAAGGAAAAAAAAATTTTTTATACTCCGTTCAAAAGAAGAGATAACCTTTATAGTTTTTATAAGTAATCCTTGTCAGAGATATATATACTCTATTTCAACTATCAGACTAGTAGCCATAATTGTATAAAAATGGAACATATTCTATTAAATTTAAATAATAATAATAATAATATTTGACAAATGCTCTGGAAAATTTAATCAGGGCATATTTTTCGATTAAATAGAAACCAAGTAAATAAACAACTAAAAAAAAAAATATATATATATATATATATATATTCAAATTCCAAGGAATGAAAATCCATCATCAATGGTTACAAGTTTTTAGTATATTTTGAATTATTTTTAAAATAAAGGAGTAGAATTTTCAATATTGATATAACCACGATGATCTAATAAATTAATCAATTTTATAACAAAACAAATAAGACCTTCACCTTATTTTTGTCTAGAGCTCTAACAAGTTGTTCCTTATTTACATCAACAAGTAAAGTACAATGGTGGTAAGAATTTGGTCTTCCCAATTTCGAAGCTGTTCCAGAGATCTTATTATCCAAATATTAAGGAAAAATAAATTGATATATTGAAAACTATATTAACATTTTAAAATAGTTTGCATTCCTAGATATAAGATTCTTCAAAAAGTAATGGAAAACCAACAATAGCGATTAAAAAAACACACTGACCTTTTAAAGCAACACTCTAAATCCAAGAGAAAATTATTACAGTTAAAAAGAAATTTATGATGTAGAGATGGTTGACCGTTAATATAATATGAGAAGGAATTAGTCGAGGGTGCGGTCAAATAAATAAAAAAATTAAAATATATAAATTATTTTAATTTTTGCCGACGTTTCGACCCACTTTGCAGGTCGTCTTCAGGATGTGGCACTGCGGGAGGCAGTGTTTCAACTGCCTCCCGCAGTGCCACATCCTACGCCCTGAAGACGACCTGCAAAGTGGGTCGAAACGTCGGCAAAAATTAAAATAATTTATATATTTTAATTTTTTTATTTATTTGACGGCACCCTCGACTAATTCCTTCTCATAAAAAGAAATTATTTTACAAAAACAATAAAAATCCTTCACAACGACCATTTTTAAACAGAAAAATGTTACAAAATTAATTATTTAATAAATGTATCACATTCAATCCATATAGGCCGAAATTTAGATTTCAATACAAAAAAATTAACGATTGTAAAGAAAATAACTACGTATAAGAGAAAATTGCATTTTTTAAACTATGCCAATAAATACTTTTTTTTATCAGCTATCAGGCTTAAATAACCATTTCATTTTAAAATTTAAATAAAGAAAAAAAAATCAGAACAAAATAATTGAAATATTTCTTAAATAATCAAGATAATGAAGTAAAGTAAAGAATAATTCAATAAAGGATACTTTAAAAGTTGAATCAAGGACGATGTCTTCTTTCTTATTAATTTGAGAATGCAGATCCCAACCTCTTTCTAATGTTTTGGCTAATATTTCAAGATTTTGTTTTCTGTTGTATCTTTCACGTGGTGTGAAAAATGTAACATTAAGATTTCCTTCATCATGATAAACAGTTCCACCTCCACTATTTCTACGAGCCAATTGAATACCATTTTCAGATTCAATAAAATTAGCTTCCATCCAAGGGTTTTGGTGGCGTCCAATGACAACACAAGGGCTATTCCGCCATAAAAGCATAACATGGTGATCAGTAAAATCAAAATTCCTGTACATCCAATCTTCTAAGGCCAGATTTGTGAAGATATCATGCGATTGTGAAATAAATACAGATTTTATTATTTTTTCTTCATTAGCAGTACTGTTCACCTTAGTATAAGTGGACTTCAAATTTGAAGGTGGTTTCATAACAGTAAATGTACGGCTTTTCTGTCTCTTGAGCAGAGAACCAAACTTGCAGCATTTTGTTGCAACAGAGTGATAAAATACTAGAGCCATTATTTATAGATTTCAAGAATATTTCAGGTCTGTCAATGGCGTAACTTTAATAATTACACTACGAGGTGCTACGAATTGTCTATGACTAACTTTTGACGGAAAATACAGGATTGGCTTAAAGCTGTGTAGCAATCGAAGCAAGAGATATCATATAGTTGTGAAGGCTAATAGTTTGATGCAACCACTTCCAGGTGTGATGCAGATTGCAAGTACGAAATCTCAGAGCTACACAGTCACCAATAACAGCTTGCATTCCTTGAGGCCCCGCCAGGATGAAATGAACTTAATTGGAACACTATCTAAAATAAAAATTAATAAAATTGTAGCACAACTCACAACTATGTAAAAGCATTAATAAGTAACACTGCAATGAAGTAATAGTCTAGGTTCAATGGTATAAGGGAAACCAGTTCACTCTAACAATTAGTGTCCAACCAACTACTGATTAAATAGTGACAGAACAAGCGGTCTTTTATAGGCTCAGAGATATTGATAATGGAATGATAGTGGGGTATGGGGTATGGATCTGATAAGTAATATTTGGAGTAATTAAGATTTTTTAATGATAGAACATTAATTAACATACAGCAATACCTACCCGACTTGTTGACTTATTCTTCATTATTAAGCTACAAAAAGCAATGTCAATAAAGTAATTTAAATTATAAAGGTGAGGTTGGTAACTACAGGGTTAACTATTTGACAACTTAAAAATCCATGGTGCAATAAAAACGAACTAATATATTTTTAAATAATTTAGTTTAAATGATATATCGAATGGAATATATTTTAACAGTTCTTTTAATAATCATTAACTTTATGCTAATGATAATAAATAAAAAAAATCAACGCCTAAATTAAGATACAGGCTACAGTGTTTAGAGAACAGCTGTTGAATACGCACTATCGGCTGGGTATTTTTTCCGAGTATATTTTTAGTAAGGTTAGTATCTAATAATTTTCTTTAAGAAATATCTTTTTGAAATTTTTTTAATAACGTGATAATTTGTTTCATAGATGGCTTTCAGACAGCTAATAAAACGAAGCTACTCAAGTTCCAGTGGTATGTTATAAAATAGTTGACTATTGATTTCATTAAGTAGTATGCATAACTTATTTACTTTATCTTTTCTTAGGTCTTAAAAAGTGGGTTTATAATGCATCAGGATTTAATAAATTAGGTAAGTTCGCCTCTGTTCTACTATTAACTATTATTGTTATCAAGAAATATACCCTGTTAAATAGCTTGTAAGAATTACACAAATTTTATTGATAAATGTCGTTTTCAAAGTTTAATTTTTCTTTAATCCTCAAGGTTTAATGCACGATGACTGCTTACATGAAGATGATGATGTTAAAGAAGCTCTCAGAAGATTACCAGAAAAACTTTTGCATGAAAGAAACTACCGTATAATCCGTGCCATGCAACTTGGTATTACCCATGATATATTACCTAAAGAACAATGGACTAAGTTTGAAGAAGTAAGTTATATTAGAAATATTGTTTTAGTACCACCCTATATTTATTGGCCAAATAATAACATGGTCTCTTGTGCTTTTTAAACTATTGTCTGGTCGCATTGTATACATTGGTTGGGCAGTAGGCCGAAATGTCAAATAATAATATTTATTGTCAGTTTATTGCAAAAAGACACTAAGTGCGTTTTTGGTGGAGCTTAACTTTTAAGAACATCTTTGTGAATTTCAACATTATTTATTGATTTAAAAAAATTCAGTAAGTGCACTAAAATGTATCAAACCTTTCTGTATATAAAGTATAGTCACGCAATTTTCTGATTTCACTGAGAGATAATTCTTTGAAGTTTATAGTGATCCAAGGCTATGAAATGTCACTACTTTTTTTTGCTCAATAAACCGATGATAATTATATTTATTACTTGAAATATAATTAAGATTAAATTCTTCTGTGTTGTAAAATAAATAAGTGTCTCGTCTGGGTGAGAAGTGGGTCAAGATCATATTAGTTAGGCTGTAAATGGGATTCGGAAATTAATTGAGTGTTAACATCTACGATCAGAGTTGTGCCTGCTGTACTACCCTCCAATGAATCCTTTTCGGTTGAAGTTGGGCCCTTATCAATCTAGGTTCCTTGTCAGGTATGATAATCACTCACCTTCCTATACCCGACACTTGATTTTGTATCATATGTAAAATATGATCAATGTGATTTCAATCCATCTCTCAACCGTGAATTGATACTTGTGAATTAGTACCTAAAACAAGTTATAAAGATAATTGAACAAATTACATACTACATTTTATATTCTATTTTATATTGTTTTTACTTTCACTTACCTATATATGTAATATGTAGGAAGGAAAAGTATTGCGATCATGAAAATTTTCAAATCTGAGTTTTCAATGGAAATACATGTTTTGAGGTTCTCTAAGTCTAAATAACCAAGTCCCGCAAAATGGTATGTGTGTGTGTATATGTGGTGAGTCTAGCTCAAAAACGAAAAGTCTTACGAAACTGATATTACGTATTTAATATAGGTGTATGCCTTGAATATGACAGCAACTTTTTCATTAAAATCGACTAACCGGAAGTGGCACTTTATATCAACGGTTATACACATTTTTAAAATTTTCTCAAAAATGAATTTCCGGAAATACTAGTCAGAAGGTATACGTATAATATATCATTAGAAAGCAGAGAATTTTAGAAAAAACGATATCTAATATAGTTCTGACAACATTTGATAAAGAACAGGATATGGTGGCTATAAATATAAGGGGAGACCCAAAAGTAACGGTAATCGGGTTGTGATAGGAAGGGAGAGTGGATTATTGTTGTTCGACCCGTTGTCCTTTAGGGACACGTCTCTTGAGTTAGTGTGCAAAGTTGTATCGCTGTGAGTGCATCAGTTCACTCATGAGAATTTTTTTAGTGAAAACTTTTTCCATTTCACCAAGAATGTAATGGCTGATTGTCGGGCTTGATTGCTGCTTTGTTTCAGGATCGTATCCATAGCAGAAATGTGTTGCAACTCAGATTATAAATAATTACTATAATTTATTAGTTAAAATGAACTATTTATGTACAGTTTTGTGATGTTCAAATTAATATTTTTTTTTTAAATTTAGCAATCCAGTCCCAACTTTACCCACCCTCACAAACTTTAGACATCCAATTATTTTGTTGATAATTCGAAATCCAAAGAAGAAGTGAGTTTATTGTAGATCAGGCTTGGCAAGGCCAGCCCTAAACTAACTAACTTCATGGACCCTTTTAGTGACTCAACCTGGGCTTTAGATAAATGTACTTTTAAAATATGTAATACATATAAAAAAATGATAACACATTATTTTTTCACTATGATTAAATATAAATAACTTATGAGATGTAATTAATAAGATATATGTTTATTGTTTTTATTTGTTTATTTTTAAGATATACGTTTATTATGTAACAACCTTTTACCCTATATGTGCAGCTAATTTGAAGGCGATATCCTTCCAATTCATATAATTTAATTTTTTTTTTTTTGTTGCCTTTTTTGCTACGGTCTGATCTGGATTTCTCACATTTCTTTTCTCCACTCTCTTCTATCCTGGTTAATAATTTTGATTTAATTATAATTTATTTTGTTTTAGGATATTAGATACCTAAAACCTTTTCTTGATCAGGTGCGACAGGAGAAAAAAGAAAGGGAAGAATGGGAAGAAAATCATTAATATTATTATTGACGAAGATGATTGTATGTTAGTCATGTTGTACAAACAGTGCGGTTTTTACTTGTAATTATATTTTAAATTATAATCCGTTGTATTGTTGTTTACTTGTAGATGTTTATTTTACCTTTGCCTCCTTTACTTCATTTGGTGAAACATCATACTTTAGGAAATTAATGTGAATCATTATGTTCATGTATTAAAAATAAAATACAGAAAAAAACACTTCTTACACGGTTTATGACCAAAGTGGGAATAAATAATATATTTCTGTCGACAAATGTACTGTTTTCCTTAACTGTAGTGATAATAATATGTATTAGTACCTTATAATTTGTTGTACCTTTATTAGCAACTATTAATAATAAAGCTTGAAATTCATTTATTTATCATTAAATTAATAAAAAAAAACTAAGGAAACATGGTTTAATTTGTTTTTTCAGCTTACCAAGTAATAATTTGTTCCAGCCCTTAGACTAAAGGGATGGTGGGAGGGTTTCACTAAGACTGGTCTGGAGCCTTTATTATTATAAAGAAAATCAAATTGGTAAAGAGATAAAAATTTAATTGATTCATAAAGTTAAAACTTGAAAACTATTACTCACTTCTAATCAAAATTTAGCACATGAATTAAAATGATTGGAGAGTGTCTATTTGATATGCGAAAAGAAAGAATTTGAATGAGGAAAGGAAAGAAGCATGGCATAAATTAGATGGTAGGCAATACCAGAGAACAAGAAAGGAATATTTGTTTTAGTTCTGTGGGAAGGTGTATTGAGATCAGAAACCACAGGACTTACTCTCTGTAAGTAAACAAAAGATTTGCACTGTAAGAGAAAGTAGATGTAGGAAGGATTATGTGAATTGATCGTTAGATATTAGTAAGATGCTAGAAAGTATTGACTATAGGTGAAAGAAAAGAGTCACTTTAATTATCTAGTTATCACTTTAACCTAGGAGACTGTGTGAAGGTACTAAAAACATATCTATGAAAGTAGTTCATTTCAAATCCTTCTACTACAATCGATAGGTAATTGGTTAGAGGTGAAAGTATATGACAGGAACAATGGAAAAATAGTGTACCTATGGAATTACCAGGACAGGTTTCAGTCAATATTAATACCTAAGTTTTTAAGAAAGGAGCTAATTAAGTATTGTGATGGATATTTAGTAATGTTGGCCTTGTATGTATATGTTTTTAATTTATGAAATCTGTTTCATTAAAAATAGTTGATACCACATACAGCTTGTTGTAGGTTCATATCATTTATACCTAAGAATATGAATTCACTAAGAAAAGTACGCTAATTTAAAAAAAAAATATGGAAGGGAAACAAAGGAATTCCTATATAAGACAACTTGAGGCAATTATCCCTGATTTATTCTACTTTCAATTGAACTTAAAATTCTCTAATGAAGGATAATAATAAATTGAATTACCATGGATTTGTTGGGTCGTGGTACTTGTATCAAGTATTGCAACTTGTATAAGATGGAGTTTTTCAATTGAAAAGTATATGTTTCAAATTGATTCTATATGTTTTAACGTTGGTTTAGACTATTTAGGTGCATTTCACTTCATAAACTGAATCAAATTTTGTCAGATATTCATAATAACCTCTTAAATTCTAATTGAAAATTTTCTCTAAAGCTTGGCTAGTACTAGAATACAAAAATATTTAGTTAGCTATTGGCATCCTAATTTTTTCTGCCCACCAAGTCAGTAAAGTCAATGTGCCAGTTATTAAATCTTTTCTTAGTACAGAGATAATTGTGGAGATGGTATTATCAGATAACTGTAACCAATAATCCATAGTGTAACCAATAATCGTTTCCTCATGAGATATTTTGATCAACTTCAAAGCAATATAAGTTCAACTGATAATATGTGTAATTTGCCACAACATGCATTCTTCTTGAGATATGCACAAATACAATTGTCTTTTCTTCATAACATTTTCCTGAGTTTTTTTTTTGTGTGTTGAATTTTATATGCTAGACAATTTTAAGAACTTCATTTCTCCTGAGCACTTTAGGCAAGTTATATCAAAATCATTAGCACAATTTTGTACTCCAGTCTATTGAAAAGCAGTTTTTTGTCTTTTAAGCACAGGATGTCCCACAAACTATATATATATATATAAAATCTGTCCTTCGTTCGTTTTTCTTCTTGGTAATTACCCATCCCCTATAGTTCATTTTATTTTTTAAAAAAATATATCAAAACTAAAAACTCAAACACTTTTAAAGATTTGACAACTAGATAAAAATGAAAATTAGAATACAATTATGTAATTTTTATAATTTCTTATCATTCTTTATAAAGATGATTTGTGCCATTTCTGCCACTAGTCCCAACCATAAGGAATTGAATCAAACAAATATTTGGCTTATCAAAACATAAACTTTAAAATTAATTCACAAAAAATGCTTGTATGTATAACAAATTTTGATAGAACAATCAATTATTGTTATATTTTTTACTTTCACTTGCGTATATATGTAATATATAGTAAGGGTAAGTATTGCGATCGAGAAAATTTTTGAATCTGAGTTTTCAACGGAAATAGATGTTTTGAGATACCCTGAGTCGAAATGACCAAGTCCCGAAAAATGGTCTGTGTGTTAGTATGTTAGCAGTCTAGCTCAAAAACGAAAAGTCCGACAAAACTGATTTTACGTATTTAAGATAGGTATATGCCTTAAATGTGATGGCAACTTTTTCCTTAAAATCGGCTAACCGGAAGTGCCACTTTATAGACTGCATTGCTATAGACTGTAGCGCCTAAACGAATTTACCAATTTCAATGAAACTTCACTAAAGTCATTTTCTCGACGTCCTTTAAATTTATCTATATAACATACTTCAACTAAAAGAAGCTGGAAAAAAAGTTGGTAGTATGGAGCTGGAAAAAAAAGGGATGGTAAAATTAAATTCCGAATAACCCAAAAAGTATACACTTTTTTGGGGATATTGTATATGGTTTTTTTTAATAGTTTATGGAATTTCCTAAAAAAAAAATCGTTAACATCCGACAACTAGGAGGAAAGATATGGTCTCAAGTTTTAAAATATAATTTTTTAATTGTTGAGACTAAAAAAACCTTTTTTCTACAGATATTTAATAAAGTATCTTTCCTAAGAACATTTTTCATAAGAAATAAGTACCTAAATTTATACCTTTATTCTCAGTTCTATATTTCAACATTGCAATCACCACTTCCGGAATAAACCTACTCATATTCTGCATAGATAACTTTTATAACATAGATAACTAAAAATATCACTAAAAATATTGAAATTGGAGTTAGTCATTCTAAAGTTTATAAACGCAAAGAAAGTTGTGTGGTTTATAAAAGCAGATGGAGTGACTAGATTTGTATTGCCTGCTGTCGATATATTAAATAGACATTTTGTAATTATAATGGTCTTAATGAATTGTTATCTGTAAACTTTAAGCTTTAGCTCTGTTTAAAATACACTTTAAAAAAATTATAATAGCCCAGCATTGCCAGAAAATAATTTCTATTCATAAGCGATCGGTAAGTGAAAGTTGTGTGTTGGTTGCACCAGATTTTTTTTATTCTGAACAATAGAAATTTCTTTTTTAACTTAACTTTTTTTAAATCTTATCAAGACATATGTATTTATAAAATTAAAAAAAAAAAGTTTAATTTAAATAAAAATGTTATATTTTCTGTGATAATTCTGTTCTTAAAAACTATGTATATTCTTCCATTCTTGAAACATAAGTGGTGTTTTATTTCTAAGCTATATCCCTTCACATTATAATCTTGTGTAAAAGTCATTTATAAAGTCACTAGAGAGCTATAAAAATGAAATCATTTTTATTTTCTCATCAGAAAAATAAACATTTCCCATTACTCTTGACCTTGATATAATGAAATATCTCTCACAAATTAAGAGTTAATGAACAATTGGGATTAAAGTTAAAAATATTTTTTTACTTTTATAATAAAAATTTCTCATCTTTATTTGCCCAGAAGTTGCCATTACTTTCTCAAACCCTCAACTCAAACTTTCTGAGAATCTAGTTTATTATTTATTTGGATTATTTACTCCAAAGAGCATTATAAGCTAAAAAATCAGGACTTCCAAAACACGGTGGGCAGACAGTACCTTTATTTTTTTCTTATGAAAATCTGCTTCATATCAAAGGTTACATTGGATAAAATAATGTTAGAATATGAGCAACTTCAACACCTTTGGCCAAAAGTCCCTTGAATTTTGCAGCATAACCTGCCAAAAAAAAGAAGTATGGGAGCAGTGGAAGTGGTGGAAGCAAGGAGATGGCGACTGGGGTGTTTACCTACTCACACTGGTTCATTTCATGTTCTCCTTGCCAGGAAAAGGAAGAACACAGGAATAGCAGCCTTGAATGAAAAGGCTGCTAATGCGTGTACGCATCACCGCTGTTGCCGGACAACCTGTATATGAGATTATTTGATTAAAGTAATTACGAGGTCGAGTCCCGGTGCCAAGGGGGTCTTATATTATAACTCTGACATTAACCCCCTGGCCCGGGAAAACCCCCATATTACCTAAAAGAAGAGGTTAAAAAAAAAAAAAAAAAAACTGCAAGAGAAAGAAATCTTAGTTTTGAAAAAGGAGAATTTAGGAGGTGCATGCAAAACATAAAAATCTATTGCAGATTCTTTGTAATTCTCCAGTTATATATTATGTTACAGTTGGTAGAGTTTAGGGATAAAAATATATAAAAAAACTAGTTGATAATAAATACTTAAAATAATTTTATTGTAAATAAATTTACAAAACACACATAGATAATTAATTATTTTCTTTGTACTTCCATAAATTGTGCAATAAATAAATAAATAAATACTTAACAAATATCACATAAATGCCACGAGACCTTCCAACACCAATAATAAATAAGACTTAATTGTGTTATGAGAACAAGTCAAGGATTTACGTCGACTTGATTTCACACACTCATGACCTTATTTCAGTAAGGTCAAACAAATAACACATAATTATCTTACATTAGAACTCGCTTATACCTCTTAGATACTGCAAACATATTTTTAGAATTTATTTTTTCTTGTACTAGGCTTATTATTTGTAATTGTTTTGTTTCTGTCATCATTAATAATTTATTTACTACATAAATGTATATTAGTTTTAATTTCATTGAATTATCAATCATTACAATTATTTAAATATAAATAACCAGGTTGTCGTATAAGTTAAATTAAAATTTCCTTGCAATTTAAACATTTACTTTTAAAGTATTAAGAAATTTCATTATATTAGTCGTTCATTCATTATAGCAGTCGTTTTTAAAAATATACTATCAAATCTGCTATATATATTATTTTTTCAGTCTTTTTTAAATTTACAGATTTAAATGATTTTATCATCTACCAAAACGCGCAAACACAATAGTAATTTATGTTTCATTCATAATGCTAACATTAAATATAACATAGATTGAGTTATTTTGATATTAATTCAGTAGAAACTTGTTTTACTCAATATTACAGTGAGATATTTTTTCTTAATATTACTATACAAATTTATTTTTCTTATTGAATTCCACGTCCTTTTTAAAAATAATTATTGCTATTAGCCTCACTTATTGTTTTAACTATCAGTTTTCAAAGATCCAATCCTTGCCTATTCGACAACCTGACTGGCAGCAGTAGAAACAGTGTACGAACTGTCAGAACCATAGGCTCTCTTTCCCCACCCTCCTCCTCCTCCAGACGACCAGCCACCACCACCTCCTCCGCCTCCTCCTGATGACCATCCACCACCTCCGTGTCCACTGCTTCCTCCTCCTCCGCCTCCTGAAGACCAGCCTCCATGTCCTCCTCCACCGCCACCACCTCCCCAACTGTCTGCACCACCACCACCACTCCAGCTATCAGTTGGGGGACCATATGATTCATGGACCACATGGACAGCACCTCCACCGCCATGTCCTCCACTACTTCCACCATGTCCGCCACCTCCTCCATGTCCTCCTCCACTTCCTCCATGTCCTCCACCTCCTCCTCCTCCACTCAGCACTATAACATGACTTTCTCCACCTATCATTGAAAAGTTTAATTTATTATTCATTACTTTCAATGATAACAATATTAAATAATCCACATTTTAAATCTATTATATTTAATCATTTTTAAAATTCTTTAACTAGTTTCATAGCAAAATTATATATATTTTATAATTATCAACCATTATGTATATCATATCTAATAAATAATTAGTATGTAAATAATAAGTATATTATGATTTGTAAACCAATTATCAGAGTTTTTAAGAAACATTTATCACTGATCATGTAATAGATTTTAAAGTTTACTTAAAATTTAATTCTCATTTTATCAAGATAAAGATTTCTAAATGATAGAAAACATCTATAGAGTTTTTCATTAATTAATCAACTTTATCACTGTATTTTTTTCTCTACTGCTTTCTTTCCCTTAACTCCCATTTTAAATTATTCTCCAGATACAAATTCAATGTGTAAAATCTTTTAATCACACATAATGTTTTTATATAAAAAACAGAATTTTATATTTCAAAGCCTAGTTATCAAAAGGTATTTTATTCACTTACCGTCTCCTCCTTTGGATGTTAACATCTTGAACAACTGAACCTTGGCAAGTGCTAGAGCAATTGCGCCTATGATGAGTGCTTTCATTGCTTTCATTTTGATGAGACCCATTGACATCATCGCCATCTTACCGGCCATGGCCATCACCATCATTCCCATTCCCATGCCTTTCTTTCCACCTCCACCTTTCCTTCTACCAATGAAGGAAGATTTATCTAAAATATTCATCATTTTAATCAGATTCAAAGTTTATTATAAATGGATCCACCAATAATATAACAGAGATTTATCATCCTTTTTCATTTATTATAAACTGGTTAAGTGTTAATATTGTTAATATTTAATATAATTAATAATTCTTTACACATTAAAGATGTTTTCAAAATCAGTTTTTAAATCCTTGATAATAATTTAGTTTGAAAAGCATCTGCTTTTAACATAACACTGACTTTTTTTTTAAAGAGAACTCTGATGTGATAGCATGAATCATAAATTTGTTAAGAAATATGATTAATGAGAATAAGTCATTAAGGTTGTTCAAGTTCATGATTTGGCTCCGAAACGTAAGTTTTGAAATGAAATGAAAAAATACTTTTGTTCTACTACGAAGTCCACTGAGAATGTTCTGATATTATAGGTACATTGCCTGGCTTCCTGTAGACTTGAAAAATATCTAACAGTAATTTTTTATTTATTTTAATCTAAACTTAGTATTACTTAAATTAGTGCAGTAGTTTGATTATGAAGTAGGTGAAGGAATACATGTTTAGAAAAGAATACAAGGAGGAGGATTGACGAATGAACATGGATTAAATCCATACCACATATCTTACGTGAAGTATTTAATCATTTTAATATGGTGGACATAATTTAATGAAATAAGACTCCTAAGGGAGAAAAATAATAGTTTCTTGGTCTGTTGTTGAAACAAATCATTTTAATGTTGTCATTCCTTGATTAGAAATCATTTTTTGACTATTTAAGCACTATAAATAACCTTGATGTCACCTATTTTCCAGAATGATTATTGATGAGAAATTAGATTAGTATTCCATGTTTAGACTAAAAGTTCTTCTTAATGAAATATTAATCAGTATCAAAATGCTATGAAGCGTGTACAAATGAGGATTAAATAAACTGGACATTTTTTACTTTTTACTAATTATTTTTTGATAGGCATCAATAGCCACTATAGATTAAACTATATCTCTTTTTTACCTCTTTGTGAAACAGTTATGAATCTTTTTAACCTTATGAGTATACAAATGTATTTTTTTAAATGATACTTAAAACAAATTACCAGGGACAATTGCTTTCATGATGTCTACATCAACCTTGTTCTTTTCGGCTTTCATCCAGTCCGGTAAGGTGAACCTGATGCTTCTGGTCTCTAAAAAGGTATCCATACCATCACCTAAGATTTCCAAGAGGCCATCTGGTTCTCCTGTAGCCTCTCTTCCGGTATACCAGCTTCTGTTTTCCCTCACCAATGACATCCATTCTGTCACAGGAATCTCTATAAAAGGACACAAACAGTCATTTAGGCGAATGAATAGTTACGTACTAAACATTTTGAGATGAGACACTCAATGAAAAAATCTTTTTAAAATAAAAATAGAAATAGAAATGCTATAAAAAATAGTAATTTTTATAGGTATTTTTTTTAAGTATGTGATCCTATGTTACAATAGAGCTAAGAATATTTCACAGTATAAAACTATTTCATATTTCAATACTTTTTCACATTTCCAAAATTATATATGAATACTGGTGGTCAAGCTTGTCCAAAAATTAAAATCTTTACAAGCATTTAAGTATTATAGATATTTTGAAAGTATAGATTTTTGTTTTCTTTTTCTCAGAAACTACTCGATAAATGTTAATTAAATGGGAAAAAAACTTTCTATTCATAAACCACTATCAGAGGAAATTTTCAATACTTTCTAAGTTCTTTCACTTTGATTAAAAAAACAACTAAAGAACCTTGGATATTGAACGAAGATCTTTGAAGGCACTGAACACTAGAGTTTAAATAATACACAATAGAACGATTTTTTTTATGTATATAGCTCATTATTTATTAAAAAGTTTTCTACTTTTTTTTTGGTATTGGTCGTGTAAACGTAACTGGTTTCCTTCCCTTAACTCTCACTCCAAATTATATTCTTGAACAAAATTCAATGTGTAAAATCGTTGAATCAATGCACTATACAGAATTAATGTTTCTGATATTTAAAAAGAAAAAAATTATAAAAGTATGTATTTCTATAATTTTCTAATTTTTGTCAAATCTTAAAACACATTTACATTTGTATGTTTTATAATTCTAAACTAATAAAATTAATTCAATGAAAATTTTTAGGTGAGCTATGTTTTTTTAAGCGTTTAATTTTTTTAAATTAATTTTCAATTTTTTTTAAATATACGAATTAAATAAAAATTTTCAATTTTTTTTTAAGTTGAATTTTTTCTAAGAACTTTATAATTATGGTTATTGAAATTTGTCTTAATGAGTTGTCTAAAATTTGTCTGGAGAAAGAGGTTGAGATAGATTTTTCCACAATGTAAATGTGAAATCAAAGTTTTGATATCACGGAATAGAAAATATGGTAAAAAGAAACAACCGGCAATTTGGAAGGCAGGATTGTAAAAAATGCTTGAAGAATTCTCTTCAAAAATTAAAACAATATATGTGATTCCACATTCTTTGATTGGAAAAGGCCAAATAATTAAGGGAAAAAATAACAGTATACGAAGCCAAGGAAAAGTCTACAGACGTAATTGGCGAAGTTCTGAGAAGTTAGCGATGTAAGTTCTAGAAGAATTTTACAAGTAGCTAACAATACGCGTCTTTAAAAAGGAAAAAATGGGGAATGTCTGTGAAAAACACAAATAAAGATATTTTTAGTATAAAATGACATTTCTTTATTGTTTTAATACCTTGTTTTTTACATTTTATTAGGAAGTATTTGTATTTTAAAAAATGAAAAAAATCGCACAACTATCGTAATTATTTTCTTATATTTGTTTTCCATACTTTGCTTTTTAGCAATAGTGAATTTATGAAGGAGGAAGAGGCTTTCAGGTTGAAGCCCCAGATAGAAAAATATTTGTTTTTTCATTAGGCCGTAAATGTTTCTAGACAAAAGATCTGAACCAAATACTTAAACAATCATAACAGGTCCTGTTTTTAAATTATATGCACTTGCCAAGAAAAAATACAACAGTTTATCCCAAAAAGCATTATTGTTCTTGAGATTTCCGTTAACAAGAAAAACATAGCCTTCCTCTCGCCCACACAAAAAAAAAAAAAAAAAAAAAAAAAAATACATTCTGAATCCGCTAATTTGTTGTTACAGAAAGATGATTTTTATAAAACAAACGTAAAAAAGAGATTAGTTGGACATGGATTTTAATGTTTTTGAGAGCTAATTTAAATATATATATATTATTGGAGTACTCATACAGATGAAGGACGTACGTAGATCTTAATTTCTGAGACATATTTCTTGAGCTCAAAATGATAAGATACTAATAGACCATCGCTTTTGTTTTCAGAGATCCTATCAACTCGATATCTACTTGAGTAACACGAAACACTTCGGTGTACACTTCAAACTCAAGGAATTTCGTTTTAATCAGCAACGAATATTTGGAAGGATTCTCAACATAGTTGATTAATGTCATTATATAAGAGTTATTAGGCATATGTGTCAGTTTGTAACCGAGCAGGGAAAAAAGATAAGGAAGAAACGCTTCCATAGGAACTAATTTCATGGGCTGGGGGCACACTGATGTGGTGGAGGCTGCAATTAAGGTTATGGGTAAATAGGTTGTCTCTTTACTAACAAAAGCACTATTCTTCCCCCTCTACCCCCCCCCAACACAAAGACATTAATTTCTCCTACTTTCTGAGGTTAAAATTTCCTTTTGTTTTTTTCCTTGCTATGGCTGGGAATTCTATGATACACTCATACAATAAAGGCAGAATTAATTATATTTGGTGATATAACAGAAATTTTAGAAATTTCTTATACCCCAGATGCTGGAGTACATAAGAGTCAACGGAATATTCACTGAGTTTTTTTCTGTGTTTGATTGCATAGAAGTTTAATAATATCGATAAATCCAATATTATCAGATCATTTTGATAAACTTTTAATTGTTATTAATTTTCTAATATTATTATATTAATATTTTCTGACTAGAACACCTGGACCGGACTGTACCTTTGGCTAGGAATGTTTGGAAATTTTAATACTTTTATTGATTTTGAGTGATCCATTGAATATTGATTTTCTTCCACCATTTTTATAATTTAAAAAAATATATGTTTAATCAATTGAATTGATTTTTTTTTTCAAAAATTGGTGAAAAAAAGATATCATTTAATTAATAGTATTAAATTTATTCTTTGTGATATGAACCATATTCAATTATTGATATTAATGATTTTTCAACTCTGAGACTTCATTTCAATGTTTATCATGTTCTCCTTCTTTCAGAGATTAAAACAAAATTTTATATTGATATTTCGATATATTTGATTACAATTATTACTATATGATAGTTATATATTTACAGCACAACTCTTTTAAAGATTATAAATATCGAGGTCCGAAATATTGAAATATCGATATATTTTATCGTTTCATCGAATTTCTTTTTCGATATTTTTGGAATGTCGATATTTGCATCCCTACCTTTGATCGGTTTTATCTTCCATTCCGTACAACATTTTTACTGAAAGGCAATAGTGCAAAATATTTTTGAAATATTTAATTACGTTTTAAGTTTATTTTTTATATCATATTTTAAATTTTTTTATTCACCAAAATATTGATTGAATGTATATATCTTTGTTTCATGAAATATAGATTTTTTTTCTTTATTTATTAACCCGGAGCCCATTGATAAAAGGTATTTTAATCCACGAAAGCATATTGAATTCCACTACTTACCTAAAATCATTTTTCACTAATATATCAAAAATTCTTTGATGATTTATCACCAAGTAATCGAAAATATATATAAAGAATGAATTTATAGAAATAAAAGTAGGGTGATTTCTAAAGTAAACCGCTTACGGAGTTTCTTCTGCATCCGTAACCATCGGCATGCGCCTGAGCCAACAAAAAAAGAAAACAGTTCTCCGACAACCCTTCAGATGTGAATTGGCCATACAAGAGAACTGAAGAAAAATGTTTATAAAAAAAAAAGTAAATGCAAAAAGTATCGATCTCGAAAGAAAAATCGACTAGAGGTCCGGTGTCACCCTCCAGTCATGGCCGACCGAGGCATTTATAAGTTAGTTCCGGATTATTCGCCCCGTTTCTTCCATAGTCCATACATCACCAAGGCTGTGGAAACAACTTTCTTTTATGAAAATCGGAAAGTAGCTGTTACTTTTTTGGGGGGAAAACAAGTATTGCGATTGTTCTAGAATAAATTTCTCTTCCCACTGTCCAAAAAATAATAAGAAGCAGAAAAAGAAGAGATTGAGAAAATGATATTCCAATCTTTCATCTTTCCGAATTTATTGTAACTGCATATATTTTAAACTCTCTATTTAGCCTAAAAACAAATACAAACACAAAGAAGATTTTTTCTAATTATTTGGCTACTGTAATAATTTTTTAATTCAAAACAAAATTCAGAGAATTTTTGAGTTAAAATGTTTAATTATTATTTCCTTAATTTAGACAATATTCTGTCTCTTTATTGATTTTAATTATTTTGTTGACACTGGGAGCAAAATATAATATTTTTTGAAAGGTGCCAAAAGGGTTAAAAATTAAACTAAAATATAATTTTGTGCTTGAATCTGATTTTTTTTTTAAACAATTAATCCTAACGCTACTGTTAGTGCAAAAAACTATTATGATTTACGAATTTAGTTTCATATTTTATTTCCCTTTGCTATTTTTCTATTTAGCAGACTATAAAATGTCACCTATAGCGTAAAGCGAATTATCATGTAAAATTGTTACATACAACCTTTTGAGCTACCAGTAGCGATAAAGACTTCAAATTAATTATATCCATATTTATTTATTATATTACTTATCCAGTATTATCATAAATTAATGGACTATAAACCAAGACTATGATTTATTCTATTTCGACAAATAATATTACATTTTGAATCGAAATTTTCTTCAACGGAGATTTTAATTTCTCCATGAAAGGTTTTATCTAACATAAAAATCGTTTCTATTTTTCTCTTTAGAAAGACGGAAATCCCATTCTTTTTTAGTCTCATAATTTTCAAGACTAATATCCAGGGGCAGATCAAGATTAGTCTTAAGTCCTAGGCAGTGAACATTTTGGGAACCTCAGGAATATAAATAAAAAAAAAAATAAGTAGACGGACAATTAAGAATGCAACTCAGAGGTCGTAAATTTTAAATAATATTTTTTAAAGGTTTTATTCCTGTTTTTATCTAATATTTTTTTACGTAAGGTCTATTAAATCAAATACCAAATCAGCATTATATATATTAAAGTCAATATGGT